CTGGACCTTTTATCTGCTCATTGTAATTGGGATAATGAGGGAATAACACACACCTGGCCATGGAACAGCTGAGAAGCCAATTGTCCCATTACTTTTGGTCCCTTAACAAGTGGGAGGCACATATGCAAACTGTTGTAATTCCTACACCATTCACCTTTTTTGGATGTAAATACCCTCAAATTAAAGCTGACAGTCTGCAGTTAAAGCACATCTTGTTCGTTTCATTTCAAATCCATTGTGGTGGTGTATAGAGCCAAAAATGTTAGAATTGTGTCGATGTCCCAATATTTATGGACCTGACTGTATATATATATATATATATATATATATATATATATATATATATATATATATATACATACGCACAATCCCAATTCAAAAAAAGTTGGGGAGGCTGTGTAAAATCTATATAAAAGCTGATTGCAATGATTTGCAAATCTCTTAAATCCATATTTTATTCACAATACAAAATTGAAAACTTCTCAAACGTTTAAACTTGGAAAATGGACAATTTTAAGGAAAAAAAGATCATTTTGAAAGTGATGGCTGCAACGTGTCTCAAAAAAGTTGGGACAGGACAACAAAAAGCTGGCAAAGTAAGTGATACTGACCAGATGAACATTTTGCAACTAATTCGGTTAATTGGCAACATTATCGGGTATAAAAAAAGCTTCTTAGAGAGACAGTATAGGAGATTTACTAAAACTGGTTGACTCAGAATCTTGGGCACCTGTGCATGGTAGCCAATCAGCTTCTAACCTTAGCATGTTCAGTTAAGCTTCAGCAATAAAACCTGGAAGCTGATTGGTTTTTATGCAGAAGTGGACAAGATTCTGAGTCAACCAGGTTTAGTAAATAAACCCCAGTGTGTCTCAGAAGTAAAGATAGGCATTATTATTTTACTTATAAAGCAGAAATTTGGATTTTTAACTGAAAAAGGAGAAAACAATAACCTATAAACGCCAAATCACGTACATGTATGTGATTGGTTTTTCAGCCAGCAATGTGTTTCCACCTAACAGCAATCCTAGCAGCTGATTAGCAGATGGATTGCTTTTACAGGCAGTGGGAGGGGACACCTTCCCCCCCCCCCTCCCACCGCCACCCAAGGGCGCTTCTCGGGGCTCTCCCATGCCATCGGGGAGCCCAGTATCCAATCCAGCAGTGCCATCTCTATGTTCTAGGACGGGGACTCCAGACGTTTGAAACAAAGTGCCAGTTTACTGCCCTTCAAATATTAGGGGGACCAGACTGTGGCCAGTGGGAGTAGAAAATGTCCTGTCATTGGAGGGAATAAACTATTCCATAGGCTTGGTGGCCAGTGGTACTAAAAATAATCACAATATTGGTGACAGTGGAAGGAATGGTGCTCCTTCTTTGGTTTCAGTTGGGGAAATAGTGCCCCATCAGTGGGAGGAATAGTGCCCCATCATTGGTGTCAGTGGGAGGAATAGTGCCCCATCAGTGGGAGGAATAGTGCCCCATCATTGGTGTCAGTGGGAAGAATAGTGCCCCATCATTGATATCAGTGGGAGGAATAATGCCCCATCATTGGTATCAGTGGGAGGAATAGTGCCCCATCATTGGTGTCAGTGGGAGGAATAGTGCCCCATCATTGGTATCAGTGGGAGGAATAGTGCCCCATCATTGGTATCAGTGGGAGGAATAGTGCCCCATCATTGGTATCAGTGGGAGGAATAGTGCCCCATCATTGGTATCAGTGGGAGGAATAGTGCCTCATCATTGGTATCGGTGGGAGGAATAGTGCCCCATCATTGGTGTCAGTGGGAAGAATAGTGCCCCATCATTGATATCAGTGGGAGGAATAATGCCCCATCATTGGTATCAGTGGGAGGAATAGTGCCCCATCATTGGTGTCAGTGGGAGGAATAGTGCCCCATCATTGGTATCAGTGGGAGGAATAGTGCCCCATCATTGGTATCAGTGGGAGGAATAGTGCCCCATCATTGGTGTCAGTGGGAGGAATAGTGCCTGATTTTTGGTGTCCATGGAAGGACTAGTGCGTTATATCAGTGGAAGGAATAGAGGAAAAAGGGCCAGATAAAGGCAAGCAAAGGGCCGCAGTTTGGAAACCCATGGTCTAGGACAGTGGTCGGCAAGCCGCGGCTCGCGAGCCACATGCAGCTCTTTACACACATTAATGCGGCTCTTCTGTGTGCCGGGCGCCCGCTCCCCTCCCTCCTCTCTCGGGCGGCCGCCCCAAAAGTCAGGACTCTGCAGCTAGCCCAGCAATGGGCAAACTACGGCCCGCATACGGCCCGGCGGACCTTTTAATCCGGCCCGCGGAGCGTGGCAAATATTGGCTGTCAGGATGTAGGCGGGGCAGCGTGACGAACTCCTCTCCTCTCACAGTCCGCCCTGAAGACCGGAACGGCGCGGGAACACGGCGAGAGGAACGAGCGGAGCAAAGGTAAGTGAATTGACACAATATGGGGAATGAATTACTATAGGGGGGATGAATTACTATGGGGGATGAATTACTATGGGGGATGAATTACTATATGGGGGATGAATTACTATATGGGGGATGAATTACTATGGGGGATGAATTACTATATGGGGGATGAATTACTATGAGGGATGAATTACTATGGGGGATGAATTACTATATGGGGGATGAATTACTATGGGGGATGAATTACTATATGGGGGATGAATTACTATGAGGGATGAATTACTATATGGGGGATGAATTACTATGGGGGATGAATTACTATAGGGGGGATGAATTACTATGGGGGATGAATTACTATATGGGGGATGAATTACTATATGGGGGATGAATTACTATATGGGGGATGAATTACTATAGGGGGGATGAATTACTATATGGGGGATGAATTACTATAGGGGGGGTGAATTACTATGGGGGATGAATTACTATATGGGGGATGTATTTTCAGTTTTAAAAATGTGGCTCTCAAAATAAATTTCAATCGTGGTTTTGGCGAGATTTGGCTCAGTTGAAAAAAAAGGTTGCCCACCACTGGTCTAGGAGACTGGAGGCGACGTCATGACGTAACTCCTGGTTCTGGCAGATGTAAGCAATGAGATTAATGTTGTTGTGGTTTTTTTTTGTTGATGCTTTCCAAGATAGAGGAGACCCCAGATGTCTCCATAAAGAGGACCTGTCATCCCTTATTCCTATCACAAGAGCTGTTTACATGTCTTGTAATAGGAATAAAAGTGATAAAATTCAAGGGACAGTGTAAACAAAAAAACTGTAAAAAAATGTTACCGCGCCCCTGTCCCTCCATGCTTGTGCACAGAAACGAACTCATCCATAGGTTGCACACACGCGTATGTAAACTGTGTTCGCACCGCACACGAGGTATGACCACGAACATTACAGCGGGCGCAATAATTGTAGTGCTAAACCTCCTCTGTAACTCTAAACTGGTAACCTGTAAAAATTCTTAGATCGTTGCCTTTGGAGATTTTTACGTTTTGTAGTTTGTCGCCATTCCATGAGCACATGCAGTTTTAAAGTGTGACATGTTTTGTAAACATTTACTTGGTGTAACATCATCTTTTATATTTTACAAAAACATTGGGTTATAAATTGAGTTGGTTTTTTTTTGCATTAAAATTCATAAAGTGTGTGTTCGAAAAACCGCTGTGCAAATACCGTGTGACATAAAAAAATGCAACAGCCACCATATTATTTTCTAGGGCATGTTTGGGGATTTTAAGTAATTTTCTAGCAAAAGAAAAAAAAATTTAGAATTTTACTTGTAAACAAAAAGTATCAGAACAGGCCTGGTCTTCAAGTGGATAACAGTGTCAGAATGTGCGGAGGGTAAGCAACCTATTATTTGTAGGCAGCTTATAATGACTCCCTCCCCATCATCTTCCTATGACAGGACATATCGGTCTCCGACATCCCTGAGTGGCATTAGTGCAGCAAGTCTGTGCATCGGTGCTCCCACCCGGAGCTACATGCTGCTAATGACACGAATATCACTTCTCACATCTTGTGCATGTTCGATTTGTGAGAATGAAATGACCCCATGGGGTGCCTGCCCTCTGCAGTATGATACTTTCACTGGATGACATGGATTGTGGGTGACACCTGACTGCCCCTCTGCCATCTTCTACAGACTCCCTGAAAAGCGTCTCCCTGGCCCCTTGCTGCCCACCATTAGTAATTGTTCTGGGTGCGGGGTTGAATTTTAACAAGAGAATTGTCATGTTTTTCCTCCCCTTGCAGACAAAAAAGAGCTGGAGGGCGTCAGAGAGCCTTTGTGTGGGGCCTGAAGCCTGAGGGAGGATTAACCCTCAGCATGGCTGGGTGGAATGACTGCTTAGGTCCTCAGTTCTTGGTTTTATTTTTAGTGTCTGAATGTATTATTTGTGTCTGCAGGATGTACTGTCTGCATTGCCTGTAGCAGCCAATCAGGTTAGACCAGCCTTTCTCAACCAGGATTTTTTCAGTTTGTTAGGAGTTCCTCTCTCCGAGTTCCTCTTCCTCATTGATAATTAATCGATGCTACCAGTGATTTTTCTAGCAATCTGTAAGGAACATTCTTCCCACTGACCACCAATGTAAGGGACATTCTTCCCACTGACCACCAATGTAAGGGACATTCTTCCCACTGATCACCAATGTAAGGGACATTCTTCCCACTGACCACCAATGTAAGGGACATTCTTCCCACTGATCACCAATGTAAGGGACATTCTTCCCACTGACCACCAATGTAAGGGACATTCTTCCCACTGACCACCAATGTAAGTGATCATTCTTCCCACTGACCACCAATGTAAGGAGCATTCTTCTCACTGACCACCAATGTAAGGGTCAATCTTCCCACTGACTACCAATGTAAGGGACATTCTTCCCACTGACCACCAGTGTAAGGGACATTCTTCCCACTGATCACCAATGTAAGGGACATTCTTCCCACTGATCACCAATGTAAGGGACATTCTTCCCACTGATCACCAATGTAAGGGGCATTCTTCCCACTGATCACCAATGTAAGGAGCATTCTTCCCACTGACCACCAATGTAAGGAGCATTCTTCCCACTGATCACCAATGTAAGGGGCATTCTTCCCACTGATCACCAATGTAAGGAACATTCTTCCCACTGATCACCAATGTAAGGGGCATTCTTCCCACTGATCACCAATGTAAGGAACATTCTTCCCACTGATCACCAATGTAAGGGGCATTCTTCCCACTGATCACCAATGTAAGGGGCATTCTTCCCACTGACCACCAATGTAAGGGACATTCTTCCCACTGACCTCCAATGTAAGGGACATTCTTCCCACTGATCACCAATGTAAGGGACATTCTTCCCACTGATCACCAATGTAAGGAACATTCTTCCCACTGACCCCCAATGTAAGGGACATTCTTCCCACTGACCCCCAATGTAAGGGACATTCTTCCCACTGATCACCAATGTAAGGGACATTCTTCCCACTGATCACCAATGTAAGAGACATTCTTCCCACTGACCCCCAATGTAAGGGACATTCTTCCCACTGACCCCCAATGTAAGGGACATTCTTCCCACTGATCACCAATGTAAGGAACATTCTTCCCACTGATCACCAATGTAAGGGGCATTCTTCCCACTGATCACCAATGTAAGGGGCATTCTTCCCACTGACCACCAATGTAAGGGACATTCTTCCCACTGACCTCCAATGTAAGGGACATTCTTCCCACTGATCACCAATGTAAGGGACATTCTTCCCACTGATCACCAATGTAAGGAACATTCTTCCCACTGACCCCCAATGTAAGGGACATTCTTCCCACTGACCCCCAATGTAAGGGACATTCTTCCCACTGATCACCAATGTAAGGGACATTCTTCCCACTGATCACCAATGTAAGAGACATTCTTCCCACTGACCCCAATGTAAGGGACATTCTTCCCACTGACCCCCAATGTAAGGGACATTCTTACCACTGATCACCAATGTAAGGAGCATTGTATACATTGCTGCAATCACTTCATGGTGCAGCAAATTTTATACAGCATGTCGCGGTTGCCAACCACGCCCCATTGAAGTCGATTGGATCACGCTGCAACCTTGGCTAAGGCACGCACTTCCAGCGCAGCTTGGCTGGATTTCAGTGTAAAAGTTTTTTGATGATCAAAAAAAGTGTCCAGAAGATGGCTTATCGCCTCCTGAACGCATGTCAACTGGCTCTAAACTTCCTTTGAAAATGGATTTACTACCAAGTGTGCAAACTCGTCTTCATCTTTCACTGTCCTAATTTCAGTACACGGTGTTGCCTTGGGTGATCCCAATGCCCATTTAATTCCTGTTTGCACTTTTTTTTAGTAAATTAGCTCTTTTGTGCCTCAAAAATAGAATTGTTTCCAATGGCATAGTAAGTAATATAGTCATATCACGCTGGGGATACTGTTGCTGGCAGTATCACACCAGTAACAGGATTGATCCCTTGCTGGCCAAATCATCAAGGTGTCACTCTGCCAGTGGTGGGCGGAATTCTGCAGAGTTTTGGTCATGGAATCCCAAGACCAGGAATGGACTCACTTGGGTGATATGGGCTTTATTTCTTGCTTACAACGTAACTGCTTGTGTATAAATGGCAGAAGCCGTTTGCCTATTTCAATTGGTCCTTCCCAGGATGACCTTCAGCACACCTTTTTAGTGTTCAATATAGCATTATGGTTTCAGGTTAAGCCAATCAAACCCCAGAATGATGAACTACAACAGGGCCTGTCCTTGTCCTCGAGTCCCCTCCGTCCTAGTTGTGCGACCATTCTGCCTCTCTTCTTAATCCACCTCTCCCTGCCAAGGCAGAAATCAAATCCAGACCTTTGTGGTTTCTCTGACATTTGAACGGGACGCTAACGAGTTGCCAAACATCACGCTGACATTTTTGTGTCCATCTTGTGGTTGGAACGCAGGCAACTGAGCAAACGGCACGGACCGCGATTGAAGTACCACATGTGCTTTTATTCATTCTGGGGATTCTGAACCATTGAGTCCAGCGTATTTAAACATGGGGCACAAAAATCCTTAGCAACGAATCAGAAAGCAGCTTTTACTGGTCTTTTATATGCTGAGCTACTGAAGACTTAATTATGCTTGCTACCAATAACCGGACATCATTGTGGTTTACTACGTGGTATTTGATCAATTCAAATATTGGATTCTCTGACCACCCATAGGCACAGGATGGTTTTGCAAAACAACATACAATTTCCTGATCTCAGGAGTGGTGCCCAAGTATAAGATGAGCTCTCACTATTCCACACCCCAGTGTTCACTATGCCTTGCTGCCCTCCTCAGACTGGGGTAGTCCAAACTCACTATTTATAGTAGAACAAAGAGAGAGCACACCAGCCCTCCACCAGGACCTCTCTCGAAAAAGCATCAGCATTTGCAGACCCGCGTGACAACTTCCCAAGATGTAAGAAGTATGCATAGTGGCTCTGGTGGTCTTATGTTTGGATGTTTCAGATGAGCATCTCCTTTTTATTGGTTTATGAGTTTATTCACCTATTTCCTCTTTTTTAATAGTTTTTTAAGATACTGCACTAGGCTGGTGCGCTCTCTCTTTGTTCTCTTATACAAGATGGTGTTGGAATTGGGCCCAGTTCGGCATCATTGGAAGCTCCCAGCCAGCTATTATTCTACTGGGTTTCAAACGACTAGACCCCTGGTTCCCAGCCTGCTGTCTAGGGCCACACTGGCCCTTAGATGCTTATTGTGGACACTAGCAGTCAGTAATAAGAGTGACTACATTGATTTGTAAAGGGGGCTGTAGTGGCAATCTTATGTAACCTGTCCCCAGTCTCTAATGGTCTACAGCCACACCTGTGTGTCCTCACTTAGCATCTCTTTCAGTATCTCAGCAGTCTCAGGCAATGTTCTACAGCAGGGTTTCTCAACTAGCGTTCCTCCAGAGGGTGTTAGGGTTTCCTTGAGCAATGAACAATATCTGCCTCTTGGGTAAGTTCCCACAGACACCATTGATTTGTTTAGCTATCTGTATCCACCCCCCTCTGCCAATCCCTCCATTGGCTTCCGATTGCGCAATGGATCAAATTCAAAATCCTAACACTGACGTACAAAGCTGTCCACCATACTGCCCCGAACTACATCACCGACCTAATATCCAAGTACCACCCAGCACGCACACTCCGCTCCTCACAAGACCTCCTTCTCTCTAGTTCCCTGGTCTCCTCCTCCCATGCCCGCCTCCAGGACTTCTCCAGGGTGTCACTCATCCTCTGGAACTCCCTGTCCCAACCCATCAGATTATCACCTACTCTCCTCTCCTTTAGGCGCACCCTGAAAACCCATCTCTTCAGGGAAGCCTACCCCACCCCCTGCTAACTTGCCGACCTCCTCCACTCTTCCTACCACTCCATCCCCCACAGCTATCTCCTCCTGTGTCACCATCCCCTCCCTCCTAGATTGTAAGCTCGAAAGAGCAGGGCCCTCAATCCCCTCATGTTTTGCATTGTATTGGTATTGTTCTGTCACATGTTCTGTCCCTCTTTGTAATGTACAGCGCTGAGCGAACTATTGGCGCTTTATAAATACTGTATAATAATAATAATAATCTGTAAGGGAGTAATTCTTCCCAATGGCCACAAGTGTAAGGATCATTCTTTCCAGTGACCATCACACTTATGTACTATGAGTAGATGTACTCATTTGTAGCAGGAGTTCCCTGGGACCACAAACTTATTTCAAGGGTTCCTCTGTTTTGAAAAGGTTCAGAAATGATGTTCTATAGAATTACATATAGTGAATGTTATGTGTGACCCCTTGTGGATGTCAGTGGCTGGAGTTTTAAGCTCCCTTTATGTAGTAATTTGACCACCGCTGGACCAGACAAGATTGTGACGGGAGTCATTTTGGGTGGGGGGCCCATGGAACCCAGCTCACTTTGGAGAGGTGAGGAGACCCCTATCTCAGCTCCCCATATTCCTCTTATGTGTAAGTCACCCTGTGCCTGTTAGTTGTACAGGGTAATCTATCCTAATATTGTGTGAAGGTTGTTGATTGTTTAATGTCATGTGGTTGCATCCCATTGTTCTATTGTGAGTCTGGCTTGGGAGCAAACTATTATGGGATGTATGTGTTTGTGTATTCGCTTAGTGGGGGGGGTGTCTCCAGCAGCCCTCCCTCCTGATGGGACTGTCTGCTGGTGTGAAGTTTGAATACCTGTGTGTCTCTTGTTGCTAAGTGTAGATTGCCCTGCCCTGTGTCATTATGCAGGGAGGGGGGATTGTCCCCTGAGTGTATATATCTTGTATCTGTGTTCAAATAAACTAGTCTACCTCCTGGTTTACTTCAAGACTGGTGTCGTCTAGTCTTGTATGGTGTCTGTTGTCGGTGTTTAGACGGGGAAGCGGTATTCTAACGGAAGTACTCAAGCGCAGTCTGGGTCGGTTCCGTTACAAAGATAAAGCTGAATTCCAGGTATGACAGTTTTTACATAGTTACATTGGCCCAGCTTGGACAAATGTAAGTTCAATATGTAAATACCATACCTGTGGGATCCCCGTGGAAGGTGTAAATCTTTGTAGTATTCACTGCTACTAGTCTACTACTACAGTGTTCTCCTCTAGCTTCCAGGTCCCGTGCCAAGCAGCTGCCCTGCTACACTATGAACACAGGAGCTTGTTCAGTCGGCGAGGGCACCATTCCAAAAACACTTACCATTTTCTCAAGGAATTTGAAACGTTCTCTCATTGGATGAGGTGGAGAGGTAGAACATTGACCACAATCTCCACCTTGACCAGTCAGCGAACACTTTCCATTCATTGAGGAAAAGCAAATTGTTCTCTAAATGGCGACCTCCTGTGTTCATGATGCAGCAGGGCAGCCGCTTGGCATGGGACCCATAAGCTAGTGGAGATCACTGTAGTAGCAGTGCTGACTACAGTGATTTCCAGCTTCCATGGGGACTCCTCAAGTATAGAACATACATACTATACTGGCATTGGTCTAAGCTAAGCCAATGTAAGAATTGCCGTGCCTAAACTTCAGTTTTAAATTGAAACCATATCAGTCAAAGAGGTTTTTCCATCAATTTTCACCCCAAGTTGGACTGCAGTGACGTCACCAATTGACATATTCAGGTAGATGAGTGGCAGGTGCTCTCGAAATACAGAATGTCTACACTAGAAGTCTGGACGCCTGACCCATACTAGATCCAGGGCAGTACAGCTAAATAGCCTCAGCTTCACTGTCCGGGGATAAGTGTGTGTCCTGGAGTCTGTGAATGGTTTCAGTTTGAGGAGTCTTACAAGAAAAAATTTTGGTCTGTAAAATATTCCTTTTAAAATTTGTTTCTCATGATTGATTGATTGATTTATTTCAGGTACTTGTATAGCGCCGTCAATTTACGCAGCGTTTACATATATATTGTACATTCACATCAGTCCCTAACCCTCAAGGGGCGTACGATCTAAGGTCCCTAACCCTCAAGGGGTGTACAATCTAAGGTCCCTAACCCTCAAGGGGTGTACAATCTAAGGTCCCTAACCCTCAAGGGGCGTACAATCTAAGGTCCCTGACCCTCAAGGTGCGTACAGTCTAAGGTCCCTAACCCTCAAGGGGCGTACAGTCTAAGGTCCCTAACCCTCAAGGGGCGTACAATCTAAGGTCCCTAACCCTCAAGGGGCGTACAATCTAAGGTCCCTAACCCTCAAGGGGTGTACAATCTAAGGTCCCTAACCCTCAAGGGATGTACAATCTAAGCTCCCTAACCCTCAAGGGGTGTACAATCTAAGGTCCCTAACTCACATTCATACATACACATACTAGGGCCAATTCAGACAGG